TGAAATTTTGTTGGCTTTAACCATTTACTGAGTTTTTTAAGTCTGTAGTTGACAAATTAATTCTTTGACACAGTTGCTTAAAAAAGTTTTGTGTTATCAGCAAAGTGTTGTATTAACCTTGTATAAGCCTTAGACAAATCATTGATGAAAAAGGTTGTGGATCAAAAACAAATCAGAAACTCTGACTATTACATTATTTACATTGTTTCCTACCCATAAGAAATGATCTTAACCATAAGTTTGACACTCCGCTGATACCATAGTAATATGATTTCAAAGTGAGATATTAGTATCAACAGTAAAAAAAGTCTTTTGAAAGTTAATAAAGATGTTGTTCCTTTGTCCAAAGCCTTCCTAGCTTTTCTAAACATTCTTCCATCTAGAGCATTCTTAATGTTTTCTGTCAAAATAATCTTATATAGTTTGTCAGAAATCCAAATTGTACATTACGAAGTAGTTTACTTGTGTTAATGAAATCATATAAACATTTAGACATGATTCTTAGATTAAGGAATGTTTGCTTGTAGGTCTGTACCAATGTTAGTGAAATGTAAAAGTTAAAAGTATTATCAATATGGTTTGGCTTGTTGTTGTATTGTTGTTGGCAAGTATATTAAGAGTTGTGTAAGAGCTAGGTTTATTATTGGCTATATTTGAGATGCCTTTCCAGATTGTATTTATATTTTTTATATATGCTTAATTAATAGAGCTAGTGTTATGTAACCTAATTTTATCAAAATCTTTTTTGAATGACTCCTCATTAAATATATTCCAGTTGGTTTTCTGAGTAAATGACTGTGTTGGTGCTAGGTAGTATATATATTTTCTTATTTGGTGATGTTAGGTAGTGCTTTTAATATATTATTAGCTATTGGAAAAGGTGATCAGATATTGAGATAGTCAAAAGATTGTCTGCTCTAAGATCATTTAAATAAAGGTTAATATATAAAGGGGCTCCCTAAATTGATGCCTATCCCCCCTCCTCCAATTAGGTTGTGTGTGGAAATCTAATAACGACACTATATATATATATATATATATATATATATATATATATATTATATATATATATATATATATATATATATATATATATATATATATATATATATATATATATATTCTTATTTGGTGATGTTAAACAAAAAAAAAAAAATTAAAAATTAAATTTTTTTAATGCTAATTAATGATAGCCAGTGGTCCCCTGCATCTGATTTTTAGGTCCTTTAAAGGCCTGTTTATGTCTAAAATGACATTTTTATGAAATGTATTAAATTCAACAAGTCTCATTGTTACTTGCATCTGTTTTACTTACATGGTTTTGCAAAGTTATAAGTGCACGTTTGCAAAGTTATAAGTGCACGTTTGCAAAGTTATAAGTGCATTTATAAAATTAATTTTAACCCTTATATTTTAAATATCAATGGAAAGAAAAGTACGGAAAATAATTACAGAAGAAACTAAAAATACAATCATTTCAATGAGAAATTGTGAAAAATATTCAATCAAGGAAATATCCAACGCTTGTAATTTAACTCAAAATGTTGTAAGTCGCGTTATAAAAAATAGTGATAATAATATACCCTTCAGGTCATCTAGAGTAAAAAGAAAAGAAACGTATAAAATCAAAAATTCTATAAATACAAACATCGAACAGACAATATTTAATTCCGTGGTCTGTAACAATGCCGTAATTCAAAAATTAATTAAAACGCAATTTTTAGATTAAAATGATAAAAACATTTTGATCTCATTTGTTTCCCGTAAATTAAAGAAATTAAATTTGACACGAAAAAGATTAGTAATCATTCCTCAAGAAAGAAACACCATGGAAAGAATAAATCAGAGATCAATTTTTGCGGCAGAAGTTGCTAGAATTGCTGATTCAAATTTGATTTTTTTAGACGAAACCAGATTCAATAAACTTGCAATGCGCTCATATGTCTATTCTCCAAAAGAAAAAAAAGCATAATTGACAGTTCCTGCAAATAAAGGACAGAATGTTAGCCTCATGTGCTTAATTTCCAATTTAGGAGTTGAATGTTACCAATACAAAAGCGGCGCATACAATACTCAATCATTTATTGATTTCATCAACAACAAACTAGTACCATTCTTTGCAGTAAATCCAAATAAAATTCTTATCCTAGATAATGCAAAATTTCATAAAGCAGCTGCTTTAATTTCAATTTCAAACTTCAATTACTAAAAGAAAAAATATTACTCACAAGTTTTTAGTACCATACTCCCCTAAATTGAACCCAATCGAAGAGTTCTTTTCAATATTAAAATCCAATTTCAAATCCACAAGAAATGCTAATCCCGATATGACTGTTAAAGAAACTCTAGAATATATTTTATCACCTGATAATAATTATAGTCAACAGTGCAATGCCTTTTATATAAATATGAGAAGATGGTTGGAAAAGGGAATAAGAAGAGAAGAATTTATCTAATTAAAATATTTAAAATGATTTGTTTATTTTTTTTAATAAATATATATTTTTATATGCCATTTTATAAATTTATGATTAAATAATGTATACTATTTTTCAAAAATTATGAAAGTGTTTAATCTAGAAAAGTTATTGATATATAACAATATGCTAAATTAAGTATAAATGTAAAGAATTTTCACTAACTAATCACTTTTTAGAAAAAAGTGATTAGTTAGTGAAAAAAAAATGTATATGCACTTATAACTTTGCAAGCGCGCACTTATAACTTTGCAACCGTGTAACTTTGCAAACATGCACTTATAACTTTGCAAACATGCACTTATAACTTTGCAAACATGCACTTACAACTTTGCAAAACCCTGTATTATGGTTTTAGCATCAGTTTTATTTATTAATTATTTTTAGTTTCATTTATTAAAAAAGTCTGTTGATTCATGTAGCAGTCACCTTATCCCAGACTTCACCCTGGGAACACTATTTTGCGAAATAATAGAGAAAGACTAAATTTAAAAAAAGGTAAAATATACCTATTCTAAACATTAAAAAAGATTTCCCAAAAACTTTAAATTGTAAATACTAATGGTTTTTATGCTATAAAAGTGCTATAAATAGTTTATGCTATAAATAGTGCATGCAAAGTATTTGTACTCAATGAAATTTTTAGCAGAAAATAATTGTCTAAATAGGAAATGCCAAGAATTCCTTTAGTAGATTGAAACTCATTGTGTCTCACTTAACAAACTTAGATAATGAGAGTTTAGAGAAACTAGAAATTTTGTTTAGGGCAAGCAAGTCTTTGTCGCCTCTGTATAATTATTTTTGTAAGAGGACTTCACTATACAAAAAAATTTAATTTTGTTAATTTTGATTCATCAAAAACTGCATCAAATCTGCATTTGCACAGTTTTCAAGAATTTTATATTGACAGGCTAAAAATTGAGGTCTTATTGAATTTTGTATAACAGTGATTGCCCCATTATGACTTCTTGTATTACTTGCAGTTTCCAGGGCACTCATGACTAAACTCAAATACCTTCTGTCCATCAAATTGCCAGCTCCAGTTGATATCTCATAGAAATTTCTCAATATCCAACCCAGATACAACAATTAGTAGATATTTATGCCTGGTTCCATCAACAAATAACAATATTTTGCCATCAAAATGTGCAACTAGTGAAACCAATCGTGTCTAGTAGAATGTTTTGTAAATGTTTTGGGCTATAGTTAACTTTTTGACCATCATCTCATAAAACACATGACATAAGGCAATGCCATTTGTTGGCAGCTGACTTGGCATATCTATTGTTGAGAAAATATGTTCAACAAGTCAAACATCCATAGTTGTGTATGTGTGTGTCTGTGTGTGTATGTGTATTAATGCTTCGAGCAGTAGCATGCAACAAGTCTGCAGCAGCTTCTTCAGTAATATTTTTATATTTTTTTACTATTATAAATATATAATAGTAAAAAAATATAATATATATATATATATATATAATAGTAAAATATTTATTTGCTATTATATATATATATATATATATATATATATATATATATATATATATATATATATATATATATATATATATATATATATATATATATATATATATAATATTAACAAAAGAACAAAAGCCTGTGATTGAAATGTATTATCCTCTAATGGAAAAATATTTATAAAAAATATTATAATGAAAAATATTATGTCAACTTGTAGAAAATATGTTTTATGTTTTAAATTTAGTTGATATGTAAATATTGTTTTTTCCTGTCTTTATTTTTTCTTAGTTTGTCTAGTTGTTAATTATTATAAATTTATTTCATTTTTAAAAAAAGAGTTTAAAAGATGATTGTGGTTGCAAATAAGCCAATGTGTTCATTGTATTCCATATACAAGAATGTATCAAAGGGTTTTAAAGGTTTAAATTTTACTCTTTTATACATTATTATTTCTTTTTTAAGTTTAATGTTAAAATTTTTTTTTTTTAAACTATTTAACCAAGTTTTTGTTTTCTTCAAGTTCACTTTTTCTGTTTAGCTTTGGTCAAACAGGAAAATCATTTTGGAACTTTTTGTAATAATTTTACCTTAATATCTCACCCGGTTTGCAAGCCAAATAATTATCTTATGCAATTTCAATACGGTAAACATTACTATGGTAACAAGAATTTATACCGAATGCAAAGTTTTTTTAGCATTTCTCAAAACTGTTTACATAAAAACATTTTACTCCCACCATCACCACTTACTTATAATCAATATAAATCAATAACAACTAAAAGTCGACTAGGAAAAATCAAAAGTTGCAAAGCTGTTTTAAAACGTTTTCGAAGGGTGCGAGGTGGTTATCTAAAAAGATGGAGACCAGGAAAACATCATAAAATGTTAAAAAAATCCAGCTGGAGAAAATTCAGACTAAGAGGTAGCATATTAGTGAAGCGAAAATCTCATCTGAGAGTGCTTAACAAAATGATGTATAAACATTAGAATTTTGCAGAAATATATATATATATATATATATATATATATATATATATATATATATATATATATATATATATATATATATATATATATATATATATATATATATATATATATATATATGTATATATATATATATATATATATATATATATATATATATATATATATATATTATATATATATATATATATATTATATATATATATATATATATATATATATATATATATATATATATATATATATATTTATATATATATATTGCAGAGCTTTATTTGTTTGCTATAGCAATTCAGTATATATTTTGCAAAACATTTCTATGTATTTGTTTGGTATAGTAATTTGGTATATATTTTGAGTTTTAAATAGAATACCTTTTTTACATATATTAATTGTATTATACCTTTATAAGTTAACTTGGGTTGAATTTAACAATCACCACTAGTAAATAGTATATAAGAATAAATCTGTTTAATTAAAGTGGTATTGTTGAGGTTTTTTAAACTTTTCCGCACTTCCTACCATTTGGAAAGCTAATGGCTTTTACGTAATGGAGCACTTTTAATAAAATATTCTATGAGACACTACCTCTAAAATATCTCAAAAGTCACTATCTAATTTGCAATAAACCTAAAAAAGAGGACCAAAAAAATCTTTTTATAGAAGCATTATATAGAGCTTACCGAGGTGTTTTAATATGTAATTTAGTCTGAGCAAAGTTTTTGCGATTTAACCCACTACACCTGAGGTCCAGTGGCGGATTCAGCATTGGGGGTGGGGGAGGGGTTACCCCGTACCCACTAAGCCGATCAACTAGCACCCCTAAAATATAAGTTTCTCATTACAAAATTCTGCGTTTATCTTAAACGGAAATAGAAAAATAGGCAACAACGAACCTTGCTTACGTACCTGTTTTACAAACTTGCCCGCATTTACGGCAGAAAACAAAACCGAGACGTTTTGTTTTGAGAAAATATCAGTCATAGTACACTGTGACCGTACAGTGACGGATGTTCATAAAACTACAATGACTTTGCAAACGGCAAGCAACTTTTTTTTCAAAGGAAAAAAGCAAAAAGTTATAAACTAACTAGTTTCAACATTGTGCAGCAATTTAGATTTGATTTTATGAGTTAAAAATGTTTTTGGCAAAAACCCGTGAGGTACCCGCTCTCCACTTGACACCTACTCGCGTCGGCCCTACTTTCAAAAATTCGTATGCATCAATATCTCCAGCGATGACAACTTAATCACAAATAAAATATATTGTTTTCCTAACTTGTCTATACTCTACAAAATCGACCGAACTCTTTCTTATGATGCTTATGATGAGAGAAGTTTCACTAGACAAAAGCTTATCAAAAATTATTTGTGATCAACGATGACAAAAGATTATCTTTTTAGATTAAAATTATTTTAATTGAACTTGAGCTTGCAAAGAGCATTGAATTCGAATTGTCAATAAATCATTTTGCTTAAACCCAGCGGGTACAGGCTATGCCAGCTAGGTTAAATGAAGTCTCGCAGTTATTGAAATCTCACAGTTAGTGTAAAATTCGCAGTTAATGATATCTCAAAAATAGTGTAAATATATCTTTAAATAACCTAACAAGTGCTATAATATTAAATATTTCTTTTTTTTTTTTAACGATAGTTGTTAATCAAAATCAACTTTGCAAAAGTCAGAGTGGTTCTTCAAAAAATATATATCTGGGCCACTAAGAACTCCTGTCGTCGCCTACTCAATTCCCTAGCCCCTTCCCCTTCCCCCAACAACGATAAAACGGACACTTAAACTGAATAAATATTAGGACTGGATTTGATTAAGCTCAGTGTTTGTAAAGTTTACAGATTTGACGTCACAATATGAACAAGGGTACATGCTTGAGCAAATTTGAAAACCACAAATTGTATTTGTAACTTTCATGTTACAAAGACAAATTCAAGACTATTTACATTGATCATCGAGCATATTTTTTCAATATTGAAGTAAATTTCTGGTACATTTTATGAGATTGCAACATGAACTTGTTTCTTGACTCCAATGTCTTTGCCAGTCCTATAAATCAATAGTAATTTTTAGGATGACCTAGCGTCATTGAAGTATTGACAGTGCGAAGAAAAACATATAAGAACCTCTGCCACTATTAGGATCAAGCTTAACAAAATGGCTATCTGAAATGTTACAAGATTAAATAACATAACTTAAGAGACTTGTGAATTGTTGCTGCGAGCAACAACCCAAGTTCCTTTTCTACCTGTGATTTCTTAGCCAATGAAGGTTTTTACCTTATATTATAAATATTCACTCATAATGGGCAGCATAATGGTTGAGTCAAAAGTTTGACCATTATGCTGCTCAGTGAGGAATCTTTATGAAGAAAGGTTCGTAAAGGTTAAGTAATTTTACTATAATGTAGAAAAAAACGTGTAAAAATTTTCATAAGCCCGAGAAAGCTTTAGTGTATTCTGTTGTTCTCGATATTATGTTTTTCCGGATCTGGTTGCATTTCCTCTTTAGAAATATAAATCCAAAAAATTTGACTTTTTTTTTTATAAACATTTTTCAAAATTTAGATTTAAACCCCTCTGATTAAATCTTCTAATACTTTGTGTCATATTAAATCGAGCTGTTTTTTATTTGAAGCAAAAATTAGAACATTATCGGCAATGTTCAAAGTTCCTTCAATATATTTTAAAACTTCATTAAAGCGTTTTGTAGTTCGTTCTGCGCGGAGTTTGCTCCAAAATAAGATCTTGTAAAACGTTTAATTTAATTTTTGGATTGAAAAGTAGTTATTGATTTGGATTCCGGTGCAAGTTCGAGCTTGTGAAATGCCTTCATTCAAGCTAATTTTGAGAAAACGGCTATGTTTTTTAATTTTATAATAACATTATCCTGGGTTGAAGTTGGAAAACGCTTTGCGTAGCTATGTTAGCGGCTCACCTGTCTACGCAAACTTTTTGGAAGGATTTTTATTTCCGTAGTTTTGAAATGTTTTTACTAAGCTCAACTTGTTGTTTACTTTTTTTATTTAAATCAGCAAGCTCGCATTTAAGAGCTTATTCGTGCAATCGAACGAGAAACTGCTGAGTGGTTTTATCGATACAATAAGCCAGTTTGCGAAAAATAAAAATTTTATAGCTAGGGTTTACTTGGCTTAAAGTGTTCATTATGAGCTTCGTGAACTTGCTGGTATTTGACTAGCGAATTTTGAGGTATAATGTTTTCATAAATTTTGTTATCCCTAATTAAAGTTAAAAAAAAAAAATTTTGCTTATCGTCTGTAATTATGTTATATATCAAATCGTTTAATGTAGCATTCCAGCTAAAAAATAACTTAACTACATGAAAATGGTGGAAAATTTGGTAAATTAAGTTTTTTTATAGTTATTGGTAAATACAATGTTTATAAAAATCTTTGTTAAAGTTTTGTTTTATCTTATTTTAATTCACTTATCTTTTATATTCATCGCTAGTTTGATAATGAATTACAACCTTTATTATCGCCTATTCTACAAAATGACTTCACAAAATTACTCATTTTTTCTAAAAGCATCAATTTGCGTTTTTATGGTTTTAATGAAATTCAGATCTGACCATAAAATGTGTTTCAGAAATGTTCTTGTTAACTGTTTATCTGTTGTACACTTCTTCTTATTGATGTTACTGAATCTTTGTGTACATTTTTGACTACATCTCTATATTCTTTAACGAACACCGTACCCCGAATCATCCTATTTGTTTTTTTTTTGTTTATTATTATTATATTTTAGGTGTTTCAAGAAGACCTAACACTACCTTTAAAGCGCGAAATATGCCCGCTTCAAACCCTGGATCTCTTGCTTATAAAGCAATCGCTCTAATCCTTGCACCATGACTGCCTAAATGATGGCAAATCCATTAGAAAAGTATTTATAACTGAAAATATATATTTGCGTATATCATCACAATTGCAACACATTGTTGCTTTTCATTAACTTTTTATTTTAATAATTGTTTACAATTTATTTTTGTAACCATCATAAATATCATAAATAGTTTTGAGTTACATCTGAAAATAAAATGTAGAAAACAAAATTAGTTAAAAATGCTTATAATAAAATTTTAGATAGTTACAGATGTGAGTTAAGAAAATTTGTAAACACTAGCAAAATTAAAAAATTGGTAATGTACGAACCTGCTTGAGTGAAAATTGGTTGTAAAATATTGTTTAAACGCTAACTAAGAAATCCTATGCTACTAGTATAGGACTTCTTAGTTGGCGTTTATACGCATAGCTTTTCAAAGTTGAATAGTAATACTAGTCCATTTTGCGAGGTTTTAAGTAGCAGTATTCAAACATCCGTATTCTGTATTTGATCCGGTCTTTATTTTGTTGTTTACGCAAATCTTTTCAAGTCTGGTAATGGTTAAGTAATTGGCACATACATTTATACAAATGCATAAAAACATGAAAATAAGCGTGCACCAATATATCTACTAAAATCAATATGGGTAGTTCAAATTGAAATAGGTTCAGTAAAGCCATGCACTTGTGGAATTGTGATGAAACTGGTTTCAATGGTGACAATGGCGATGCGAAAGTAATTATCAGATGAGGTGCAAAGCCTCCACTAGTATTGACCGCCTTTTGTTGTTTACAAATCAAAGACTTCTACTGCCTTTTGTTGTTTACAAATCAAAGAATCGACTTTATGATGATTGGATTAAAGGAGGTCCACCAAATACACTTTACACAACATCGCCATTTGGTTGTATGTAAGAACACAATTTTTGCAGTGGCTCGATGAAGTGCTTATTCCTCACATTCAAAAAATTGGTGGTCAACATATTTTACTTTTGGATGGCCACAGCACACACGTGTCATTTAATGTAGGCTTAAAGTGTAAAGAAAACAATATAACACTAATTTGCATTCCCGCCCATTCATCTCATGTACTGCAGCCTTTAGATGTTGGTGTATTTTGCCATGTTTAAGATGTTTGGCGTGATATTTTAAGACACTTTTATGCTGAAAGTGGTTTTAGCAATTTGTTTAAAAAAAATTTCC